CGCGTTTAAAGTTTCAAGTAAAATGTTTTGCAGTCTAAGTTATAAAATTATATTTTTAGCTTATATTTATTCAATCTGCCATTCCTGCTGCATACATCGCACTATCCTTGACTTCGAAAAACTATTTTCGGTGTTTCTGTTTTCTATTCGAGTAGTTCTGGCCTCCTTTGATGCGCTGGATGCTCGTATCTCGGAGCGGTCAATACGAGTGTTGTCTCGTCTGATAGAAAATGCATGCGCTTCTAAACCAATTTTCACTCCCATAATCGTCATTAACATCAATATTGGTATAAATCCTTCATTAAAAATACACAGAGTAATAAATATTACAAATTCAATGATCTGAGACCCGGAATGGATATGCTTTGGAGCGAAAGTCCATATCAGCGAGTTTAGAGACTCATTATTATTTTGAGTTTCTCAACCCAAACGTCGAATCAATAACTCTTCTGATGATAAACTTCGAAGGATTTGTCAACGAATGGACATGTTGGAATGTAGCGTAGACTATTGCAACTGCATTGTAATGCAATTTCGAACCCGAGTCCGCGTTGAGCCGTTCTTGAAAATATAATCTCTTTGTTGTATGTAGTACACGAAATAAACAAAGAAATTGCTAAAAAAGACCGTGAAAACTCCAAAACACAGTAGCTGTAATTATTATCTATAATTAATTCTTCATCATTTGATTTCCTCAATTTTGCTGCTGATGCACTCGTAAAACTGGTGTTTTCCTGTTCCGTAAATCAATTGCCGTGTGATATATATACATGAATATATGTAAAAATATATAAAGATAGATAAATAGATATAACGGAACAAAAGGACTTACTAAGAAATATAGATTCAGGTAGTCGGAGAACTCATTATGTCTTTTGCTCGATTAGTTGCAGCCCAACCGATTTAGATGCCTGCTCAGCAAAATATTTATATCTCCCAAACAAATTTGAATTTTAGAAAATCCTCTCGTAGACCAGAATACCCCCTTAAACTTGTCCAAAATATTGATTTTCACTTAGTAAAAGAGTATGTTCTACTTTTTAGACAAAGGGACTGCTAGACAATCAAATGATGCAGCATTGGTCGCCGTACATAATTCTACTTGAAAGAATGATAGACAATCCGTGGTTGGTTACAGCTCGACGGGCAATGAATGCCACGAATGAAGGAGTTCAAAACCCTGATATTGGACGGTTCAGCGTACGTTCACCTGCTGCTCCTTTATACTTTGCTGGTTTAACTCCGTCTGATCCACGGGAAGTAGAAGCCCTTACATTCGCGGGGTTCCTTGGCATTCCACAACCTGCCAATGCTCGGTATACCGAAGCTCGAATGTGGAATAGGTGCGCCTAGATAATACCATAAATGTTATTGTCTTTGTTTCACTAGCACTGCTTAAATATTGAATTCACTCATCTATATAACATGTATTTTGTTGAAAATAAAGTATCAAAGACGCATTTTTTAATTCATATTTTGTTCGTGGAATGCGAACTTACTTTTACAAAACCCATTATGTGGTGGGGGGGGGGCAGAATATGACCTGATGGTGGTTACTTTTTTATAACTTTCAGTTTGCGCCAAAATGTGCAGCCTTTACGGCCTTTGCGGTACAAAGAAAGGAAACTATTCGCAGAAATCTCAGCATCGTCATCGTCCACGATAGTCCATTCGCCCGATCCATTTAAATACTATACTTACAGTGAATACTTTACCACTGATGATCTTGATGCATTGTCTCCAAATTCTGCAGCCAATCTTTTTAGAAATCAGATTAATCAGCGAAGTTTAACGGTTCCATCGAATTCGTAAGTATTCATGACAAGTTATTTATCATATATATATATATAAGTTAAACGTGATACTATTCTTACAGTTGAAATGATGGTTCAAATATTTCAAGATATTATTGATTAATCTTCAAAATTAAGAATATTATTAAATTGAAATATTAAATGTCTCCAAAATTAAAGACTGTGTTATACATTCAGTTAGCGGCACGCTCAAATACAGTGATTTAACTTTAACAGTAGGTCCCATGACACTACACTTATCTTAATATGAATTTATAGTGTATTTGCCTTAAAGGTTTTCAGAGTTTGCTAAATAAAACTCTGGGTCATTAAGCTTAATTTCAATATAATTTTAGATAAATTTTGCCATTTCAATTAATTAGCTACTGCTTTCCTATTAGAGCCAGCAAATTTTTAAGGCCAAACTAAACGTTTTTTGTTTGGATTATCCTTATTTTTTGCATTTACAGAATTCGTTTTCTGGGGAAATATGAAAGATGTGAAGTGAAAAGTCTCTGGCAATATTAAATATTCAAATCCATCCATTCTTGAAGCTTAAATTGGCACTTTTAACTTCTTTCCAGTAATTCTGCTCTGTTAAGCTTAGTTCCGTTTTCCGTGCTTTAAATCGGTAAAACTGCCGTAACTTCCGAAAAAAATAATAGTTGCTGAGATCAACAAATATAAGTATTTAATTTTTTGACCTGATCAGAGCTTCAATAAACTTTAGACATTAATTAAATGGCTTGAGATAAGTGGAAAATAATTTAACAACTAATAAATCATTATTAAATTTGTCTCATTTCCTGAAGTAGGTTTATACCCCTCTGCATCCTTTCATGATTTTCTTGCTTGTAGTAACAAAATCGAAGCTTTCTCGTTGCGTGACTGGATAAATATAGCCTATCTTAGGGTGTTTCTACTCGTCTTGGATGCCTACTTGATTGTGTCCAGATTCTACTCTGCTTGTCGAAATTTTTGTGCTCTGTGGCTTGGAAAAAGGCGCCGAGTTTATCATAATACCCGAAATAAGGTTGAAATTGCTAATGCAAATGCGGATCGATCTGTTGCCAAACAGGCGCCACTTAATGAACACTTAAATGAGGCATTACTGCTAACGAACAGTGATATTGAAACATCGCATACACCAAATGACATGGAATCTCTGGATCCGCAAGCATCTACTCTGAATGAGAGTGATGTAAGTCTGTTTGAATATCTTAATTTTTGGTGTACTATGTACAAAGTCATGAAGAAAGACGTAGTATGGTAAATGAGGTTCGATGTCATCACAGAGGAAGTCAATTTCACCCAACTCACCTTGTCTCAAATTTTGTTTTTTTCAAATAACTTGGCTATTGAGCCTAGGTACGGGGCATGCAATTTATTCTTTATCTTGATTGAGATATTGAACATAGAATATTTATACCATTGCTTCTTCTCTTATTCATGATTACAACGACACTTTCTTGATAAGACAAAACATATAAAGACCTGGTTGTAGCAAAGCACTCACTGGTTTCTATCCTACTTCTAGGAGAGCACTAGGCATCCCTTGAGGCGTTAACATCAAAATCATGATGCCGTATATTAAAAGTCTTTATCAAATGCTTCAGATTATTTTGTATATATTTAAAGTGTCTATTAGAAATCACATATTTCAAAATGTAATTACTTTTAAGTAAAGCTTATTACACTGCAAGTGGCATTATTTTCGCCATCATTTCTATTTAAAATCCATTTCTATTGTAGTTTCTCGCTATCCCCCCTCTTTTCTTCAAAAAAGCAAGCAGTTTTCAACACCAGTTGCTTTTCGAAGCATATTTTATTCGATATTATGATCTATGGATCTGAAAAGTGCTAATCAAATTAATAATTCAGAATGAGGTAGAAACTGAAAGGAAAGCATTGCTAGATTTTGGGAGGTCATTCCTGTTTTGTGGAGTGGGAAGAGGTTGTGGAATGATATTACCTTGTTGGTGAACTCCCCTTTCTCTTAAATTAACTTGGATATTATAATTTAACTGTTTCTGCCGAATTTATCAAATCGTTGTGGATTATTCCGCAGTTAAGCGGATACCTTTTTCAACCAAGGATTTTGTTCTTTCGTAATTGGCGAAATTTGAAGGTCATCCTGATTTTTTCGCATCATTTAAATTAATGCCGCCTGATTTAAACCTTTTAAACCAAAGTTGACATCGATGGTCTGCCATCAATTGGCCATAAATTTTGGAAATGTCTTTACCGGTGAAAAAAAGGCAGCATGTAATGTCTGGACTGCTCTACGTTTGCTTTGATCTCAAACCTTTTTACAATTAACGATAAACTGAAATTTATTGCTCATAAAAAATGTTGAGCTATTTGTCTACAAGTGGAAACGTATAGAATAGTTTCCTTCCGCGTATCTTGACACAAATCGAACTCAGGCTTCCGTTTATAAACTTCAGGATTGTTTATTGGTGTACCTAAGATTAACAAAGTGAATTTTATTATCTTTTGGGATTAATTAAAATGAATCGATAATATAAAATTACTTTATAAAAATAAACAAACTTTAATAGTTATCGGAGATATTAACTTTCATTCAAATTGAAGTAAAAAGTCATTTCTTTGTCATAGCCAATCATATTAGAACAATTTTCAAATTGAAAAAGCTCAAGCATAAATGTTTCTTAAAGCTCAAGTTGAAGATAATTTCAAGTTCAATTCGGTCACACTAATGGCACCTAATGCTTGCCTGGTGGTGGTAGATATTGAGGGGCAATTGTATGTGAAAACAACGTTGTTCTAACACTTCGGTTAACAAGATTTAATCAATGCTAATAACTCCCATCAATTTTGGCTTTTGCCAGTGATCTCGAATTTAGCAAGTGGTCCATTGGGCGCTGTGTCATCAACGCAAAAATTGAAAAATATTTTATCATAACTGAAAGTTTAATATTTGCAGTATTTTTCTTAACTTCACGAGGTGTACCCTGGGCAAAGTATATTTTAATGCGGCAAAAAGTCTATAAATCGTCAGTTAATTTCAAACTTCTAGAACCCCACTGTATGCCATAGTCGTCCACTTCCACAGGACTCACATTACCTTTTTCTCTACCTTCGTGTTTGCCTCTTTTACATTTGTGAATCACTCTTCTCTTGCTCCTCTCCACTTTTTCTCACTTTGATGTTTCTCCCCTCTATAAATTTCCAAAGTCAACTAAAGGTTCAATGATAACTATCATAAAGTCTGCCATTTGATATAAATAAAGTAAAACCGCACTCCCATTTAAAATCACGTTTCATCAAATACAATTGTACATTAGTTAGTTTTATCTCTATACTCCATAGGGAATTTAAAAAACGGTAATTTACTCAAGGTACATTGGCTTGTCTCTTGCCTCGGCAATCAGAGGTTCCTTCTTTTTCACTATTTTTCTGGTTAAATGAGCAGGAGAAGCTTGCTCATAGTTCATTAACTTTAGTTTAGTCGCCTATTTGACGTTGTGATAGAAAATAAGCCTAATAAAATTAGAAAAAAATGTGGTGTGTGCTAAATTTACTACTATTCATTTTACATGAAATAGCAACTTATCCTTACTGAGTAATCAGATTTGGCCATGTCTGAAGTGACCCAAAATATGCTTGAAAATCTAAATGTTAACTGTTCCTTTTCTGTCAAGATGGTTAACTAAAGTCGTACGTCTCTGATACTATGATGACAGTTAGACACAACTGTTGATTATGAAATGCGATATATTAATAACCTTCAATGTAATTTATGTATATTCCTTTAACCTTCAATAAATAATTTCATTAAACCTCCTATCTGAATCAAGAATAAATGATAAAATATTGAAAGCTTTTGCACCCTTCCAAATGTTCATTCGCATAAAGTGATTCCAAAGGAAGATCACTTCAAAATTCAATTTGAGACAGCGTTTTCTCATTTTTGCACTTTCAACAGGCCGATGCGATACACGGCTTTTTTCGAACATCTAATTATATTTCACCCAATCACACACTCCATTACGAGGGCTCGACCAATCCCAAGATAGCCTTCCTATCGAATCATAAAAATGAAAATTTATTTATATCAAATGGTAGGCGTTTTGATAGTTAT